TCTGAATGGCATGTTCCATAGAATGGAGCTGGAGAGGAAAAGATTGGGCCTGACTGAGATGGGTGTTGAAGATAACACCCAAATGGATAAGGTATTGAGTAGGGCTAAGGAAAGACTTCTCCAATTTGACCAACTATCCCACATATGGTTTGCATATAGAGGACAACACAAAACGAGAAAAGCTAATCTTGTGAGAGGAGCAAGAGTACCTTATCAGAAAAGTCTGGTCTGATAAAACTTAAAAAATAGTTTTAAAAAATTATTTAGTATAATATATCATAAATAAAGGCTAACACGGATTCACCAAAGAGAAATCATACCTTATTAATCCATTATCTTATTTTGAGGATGTTGTTTGTTATCTGGATGAAAAATGTGTACTTAGATTTTTGAAAAGCTATTGATAAAGTACCACAAAAAATACGCTAAGAAAATTGTATCAGTAGGGGCTGGGGAAAGATAAGTTAGTGGCATCTGGATGGGAGAAAACAGAATATTATTATTGGAGTCCAGTCACACAGGAGTCAGTGTTTGGGCTTTTGCTTTTCTTATTCAACTTTATGATATTGATAGGGGTGTAATTGGTAAAGTTTGCTTGGATATTTGCAGCTGTACCAAGGTATTACAGAATAAGTTGAATCAGTAGTTAAGATGGAGAAGTATATAGAAAATGTTTTTTAAACACAGTAAGTGCAAGGTAATAAATGCACTTGAGTAATAATTTGTGTCAAACATTTGGTTAATTGGCAGCGTTGGATTAGTTGCTCAAGCCAACAAAGCAGTGCTCTGTTGCTAGTAAAATGAGTATAATTTTAGGTTGTATTTATAGAAGTACTGATTAAAAATTATACATTACTAGTTAGACCTCACTTGGAATAAAAAGCTTTGGTCTCCTTATCTAAGAAAGGATATCAACTTATTAGAAAAGTCTCAGAAGAGGGCTAGTACCACTAGGATCATTCCTGATTTTTTGGAAGTTTAATGGATGAGATGGGATAGATTGACCAACAGATCTCATATTGTCCTTATATGTTTAATATAAAGGAAAGAGTTATCTTAAAACATAAATTAAAATATCTTTTTTTCTCTTAGGAAAAAAGAATAAGAGGTGATCTTGTTGAAGCTTACAAGGTTATTTCCAATATCAATAGTGTAAAGGCCTGTGATTTCTTTGTGTTATATTTTGAAGATAACACAAAGAAAGGACACAAGTTTATGAGTTGGCTAGGTTCCAGTTAAGAAAGTTTAATGTTTCTTACAGCATGACCAACCAAAATAACATGTTGTTGTTGACATAAGTGGAAGCCAGCAGTTTACTAGCTTTCTTCTTCCCTGGTTAACCTAAGCATATTTGGGTGAAGTGGTCTTGTAAATATTTATTATACCATGTTAAATCAGATCACTTGTACCTTAAAATCTTTCCTCTCTATAAACTTGATGCAAGACTGAAATTCTGTTTTATATCAATTCCATATTCCACAAATAGATGGCAGCACAGGAAGGTACTTTTTGTAGCCAGCTTCTGATAAAACAAGATGCTAATAGGAATAGAATTGGAAGAGAAAGCAGGTATTTTTGTACAGACTGTAATGTACCACAACATGCTTTCAAATCTACTATGGTACGACAAATATCTAGTTAAATATGTCATAGACTTTATATATTTTTCTGACAGTTGTCTTTTTTACTTAGTTTTTATAGTTGCATAATTATTGTCTGCATGTATAAGGTACTTCATGGAAATAAACCTAGATATATTATTCTCTTTAAACTTTCCTTATATTTCATGAAGTATCTCATGTCTAAAATAAAACTTTTATTACAAATATATTTTTGTCATATAATAAATTTGATAATAAACTAGATAGACTAGAGTGAAAGCAGCTAGTCAACACCACCAATTATAAACTCTTTAGCTGCTCTTTACCAATGAATAGTTGAACTGACCATCACATTTTAAAGACTAAATTTGGTGATTGGATGCAATCCCACGACCTGCAACCCGCAGGTTGTGATATGAATGTTCTAACCACCAGCCCATGCCAGGCCATTTGAAAAATAAACGGTGGGTTTAATTTTTTACTTTTCTCAGAGGTGGGTGTGCAAATATAGTCTATAAGGACATACTACACACCATAATGCATAATAAACATACCATGTGTTACAAGGTTTACAAATGTAACACAATGCTCACAAACATGTCATTATCAAATTGCACAAAACTTACATATAATGCATAAATCACAAAGTTTTCAAAATAACACATCTCACAAACTCACCAGCCATGATGACGAAACTCCTGAAGATAACAACTGAAAACTCATAAATTTAGTGTAAAGAAGTTATCATAAGAATTTGACTCCTCAGAACATAGCTTCATGATTAGCAAATAGAAAAATAAACACATTTCCGTGTGATGTACCTGAGGTTGCTTGGTGACTTAATTCCTTCTGCTCTGGTAGTTCCTGTGTATTTTCCAAATGCTCAAAGTTATTGAGACTGGTTTGAACACCCTTTTCTGAGGACAAGAACTGACAAACTCTGGTGGGTGATGTACCTGAGGTTGCTTGGTGACTTAATTCCTTCTGCTCTGGTAGTTCCTGTGTATTTTCCAAATGCTCAAAGTTATTGAGACTGGTTTGAACACCCTTTTCTGGGGACAAGAACTGACAATCTCTCGTTTCACCACATGATTCAGAAGTCTGAACACTCTTATCACAGGTAGGTAGTTTATTATGTCCTTCACCTAATGACAAACAGAAGCATCAGTGTAGTAACAAAATGTGGGTGAAAGATCTTAAATGAAATGAAGAGAGAAAAAGTTGACAGCTAGAAGTAGCTAATAGAAAACTAAAATTGCTTGATATAATAATTAAAAATTAATCACCTTTAATTAACTTTCGTTTCCCAGTTTATTTAGTATTAATGAGTTAGGAAAGTAAATTAACCCACAATTTTTCTAACATTAATCTAAATACAATTGATTATATGAACATGAGCACACTGCTTATACAGATACAATAGTGTAGAAATTTCCTTCAGTAGTACATAGTGAAAGTCTATAAATATTAACTGTTTTCAATAAAGTAAACCGTTTTTATATCAATATACATGCACCTAAAAACATTAACAAATGATACTTGTGATCTATTTCGACTGGAATCTACGACTGTGAAAGTCCTTAATTCAGTCACTTACGTTGAGCTCGTCCTAGCAACTGAAGATGTTTTAACTGCAGTCGAGATGGAGGTAGGGGAGAATTACTTTCTTCAAACTCATCACAATCACAGCTCTCTTCATTCCACTCAAAAGGCTCATGCTGAAACTCTCTTTGTCGTCGAGAAGTACGATACTTCCAGTTTTCCTTCCAAATTTGGTAAGATGTTTCAGATGGTAGCCAACGATATGTTAGACGGTGTTCACTCTTCTTGTGAATCATTTTTGGTCTAGTTTATCCAGTGCCATATTACAAACAAGAAACTTTTTAAACCTGTTCATCATACAAGAAATTATCATTGACTTCTGATAAAAACAAGTTATTTACGTAGATCTCTATTAAAAATTAACCTAACAATTAATATAGACAATTTAATGCATTATCATAACTAGGTGTATGAATATCACACATCAAAACTTTATAATGATTTAAAAGCATTGATTAATCAGCTGGGTATCCTCATTGTTATTAATAATTTTGGTCACCTTCCAAACCTAGGTTAGTCCTAGATTTATATACTAAGCTAAAAATGGAAAATTATCCTCTCTTACATGCTTATTATAAACAACACAAATAAAATATATATACATTAAACATTTTAATAAATACTATTAATGAAATTAATATTAAACAGAACTTACAAAACATGCACAGACTAATTGATACATACGCTAACACCAATACCCAGTTCCTTGAAAGCTTACTTCTATAAACAGTAACCTTCACATTAAGTCATAAGTTTAATATAACAGCTCACAAAAAATTCTTACATTTGATATAAAATCACATATTTAAACTATGTTCAATTTATTTATTAATAGGTTGTATATCTTGCCCAATCTTGCACATATATTTCGAAAACTTCAAATACAAAAATTATTTATATCTTCAAAGTTTTTGTCCTATGAGCTTAACTCTGCTTACAGAAAAACAAACAAACCATTAATATAAATGAGCTTTATTAATGTTTTTTTTAGTAAGCAAAATTAAGCTATTTTAAACAACTAAAATTAAGCTTTCAAAGAAGTGATTAAACAATTTTCAAACATTTCCATCAACCCCTTTTCTTTAGCATTACCCCTCGTCAGTTATTGATCCCAACTAAATGGACGAACCTGCAAAAGTAGTGTTTAAATACCTTTACTAAAATGACTTAAATTAAAATTTTACTTTATCCCTTTGCAACCTACAAACTTCCAACTTCTTGTTCTTTATTATGGGCTTCTTGAGAAAAAAACTGGGAATTTTAAATAATGATAAGGCTCCTGAACAAATATTTCCATTAAGGGTATTGAAGAAGTGGATATATGAGCCACTTGCTAATATGTTTTTGTTAGTCCTTCAATAGTGGACATATGCCAGAAGATTTGGAAGATAATGTTACTCTTCTTTTTAAGGGAGATGATTAAAATTGTTCTAGTGATTACAGGCCTATAAGTCTTACACCAGTAGAAGGAAAAGTTTTGAAAGTCTAATAAATGATACTTTGCACATTCACTTAAAATTTAAATTTATATGGGATAGTCATTAGCGGAACTTCTGTCTTAGTGATCTTGTGACATTTTTTTTTTATGAGTTTACTGCTAATGTTGACAAGGGTAAAAGTACGGATGTGGTGTATCTAGATATTCAAAAAGCATTTTAGAAGATGCCAAAAAAGTCTCTAGAGGTATGTGGGATAAGTTGGCTTATTCGATAGAAAAGTAGCTAGGTGGAAGAAAGGCGGAGGGTTGTAAATAGAGTTCAGTCAAATTGGATTAACATCACAAATGGGGTAGCCTAGGGCTTAGTGTTAGGACATTTGTTGTTTTTTATTTACATCAATGGCATAGAAGAAGGAATGAATGATAAATTATTTAAATTTGTTGATGATAATAAGGACTAAGGTGTTGCTTATTGTAAAGAGGATGCTGCTGCTTTAGAAAAGGATTTAGATCACTTAGTGAGTTGGACAAATATATGGCAGATTGCTTTCAATTATAGTAAATGCAAGGTAATGTAACTGGGTTTAATAATATAAATTATTCATGTATAAATTGACAGGAATAACCTTTGGTGAGAATGATATGACGAGGGTGATAAATATAAATTTTTGAAGAGTACAAGTTATCTTGAGCTAAAGATAGTTATTTTTCTTACAGGATGGTTGGCCTTTGGAATGAGTTGCCCACAGATGTGGATACATTAAATTTAAGCAAAGGCTCAATAAATATTTGAATAAAAGGTGGCTTTGAATTTTTAGTTTAGTGGATGGGATATCCTCAATGGAAAACCAGACCCCTTGTTGTCTTAAAATGTTATCTTCCAATGTAATTTTTAGTATACATCCTCCAAGCACAAGTCAGATCATACTAAGGTTATGTGGATGTATTAATAAAATATTGTGTACTGTTATTTACTCCTAAGTTAGATCAAAAGCTCCCATTTCTGCAAGGTTTGACAAATACTTTTTTCTTGAATAAAAAATACGTGATGCTGAAAACAAATTACCAGAATATTCTTTGTGTTGGTTTTAAGTCATTTAGAGAACATAAACAACCACAGGTACAGGTGAAAAGTTAAAATATAATTTAAGTCTATGAAAATACTACAGTACAAGTTGAGGACTTCTCCCAAGATTCTGTGTAATACAAACATTGTAGGTACTTGCTTCTCTACTGCGTAACAGATTCTTAGGTGTTACTTTTATCATTATAATATATATTTACTTAGAATTTAGCAACTTGCTATCAACATCTGTCTTCTTTTCCAATATCTATTACTGTTGTACTACCACATCCTCTCATGTGCCTGATAGTGTATGTGGTTGTAATATCAAACTACAACTACAAGCAATTTAAAAGAAATTTATAATTTCTACTATCTTTTTGATGAACTATAATGTGGGAAAATAAATTTAAACAAATTCAAAGATTTATGAATGAGTCTTAGCATTATAGTGTGAAGTTATAAACAGGAACAAAAAAGGAAATTATTGATTTTCATTGTATAATATAACATATTTCATCCATATACTTCAGATTAGTTTAAGGATAGTTTCCAATTACTCACTATTCAAACATCAAGCTTGTTTCTTCTTGACACTATCATTATCAGTATTATTATTATCACCATATGTCAAACCCACATTATATCTTTTAGTTTTAAAATTCGTTTAAAAGTCAGTAGAAAGTATATTTATAGTGAAGATCACAACATTATCTATGGTTTAGGCAATAAAGTGTAACTAATAATAACAGACATATAAATTGTGCCATTCTAGGAGCAATGCCCAAATTCTCAACTTAAGTAAATAACATTGGAACTTGGAAGAGGCAAGATATTGAAACGAAAGCATAGACGACAGATAGGCTTAAAATTCCAGTCGAAGGTCCACGAACGTTCCAATTATACAATTAAATACCTAATTACTACACAAGTACCGGTATTGCTGCGAATTTAATTAGAGCTTAAGCACTTAACAGTTTTTAGGTTTTAGTGAAATACTAAGTAACCACTGTGTTAATGTTATGCATCACGTAACATTAACGTTAGGCCTAAAGTAGTATCAAACATGCCTATTTCAGAATATTTAAATTTGAAACTTAACGTTAACTATAATATAATAAGGTGTCGCGTGGATGGATGTTTATTTTGCGAATAATTAATTAGTGACCCTGGAGATAGCAAATTCAACTTTTTTTTGTTGTGGTTTTGTTTACCTTTAATTTATTATTCCCTCTATGGTTTAGTTTAACTACGAATTTTTAAATAACATTAAAGGGTTCACTCACCTTCTAATTTATTCACGAGATACAGTTAAACGAATTACAGTACTGTCACATTATAACGCTACAATCCGAAACCATGTGCACCCGAAATCGATATAGGTGGGGGAGCGTTATAACCATAACCAGGAAGGAATATACCTGGGCTGGCCAAAGAGAAGGCATTTTATTAAAAGCTAGATTGGATAAATTATATCTTAATTCTATTATGTTGACGAGAATTCTCGGACTGTCGCATGTAAATACGTTCATTTCTGATCACGCAGCAGTAGTTGTACGGTATACAGAGGTTTTGAGTAGGAATAGGAAGGGTTGCGCATATTGGAGTTTTAATAATAAATTATTGGAAAATACTAAATATGTAAGTGAAATTAACCAAATTATAACAGATTTTCAAACACAACAAAAAAAAGGAAAACAGTGTTAAGAGTGTGGTGGGATCGTTTAAAAAGAGTAATCAAAGCACATGCTCAATTACTTCAAAGAAAAATTGATTTAAAAAAGAAATGGGAGACAGAGCATCTAGAAATCAAGTTATCTCAATTATCCCAGACAATTATCCTACATACAAGGAAGCTTTCTATAAATGGAGCCAAACACTGCGAAATATATGAGCGAATCCAAAGAATCAGAGAAATTGATACCACCACATCTTAGTTTTTTGTTTTTTTTTAGATTAGGACAAGCACCCAGAACACAAAACAGCTTTAAAGGATAAAAATGGTAGAGTAACTCGGAATTTAAATGAAATAACTTTTATAATTATTGCTTTTTATAACTTTGTTTGTAATTAAGCACAAAGCTATACAACGGGCTATCTGTGCTCTGCCCACCACGGGTATCGAAACCCGGATTGTAGCGTCGTAAATCCGCAAACATACCGCTGTGCCACTGGGGGAGGGGGGTTATTAGGTAATATATTCAGAAGAAACAGTAAATGAAATTAACAATTCTTTCTTTGAAGGCTTACCGAGGTTATCAAAAAGTGTAAAAGAGACTCTAGATGCTCCATCAAAGCTTACATAAATAGCTGCCTCTTGCCAATCATTAGCAAACGACAAGTCCCCTGGAATTGATGGCATAACGGTTCAGTGGTTTGTAAAATTTTGATCTGCAATTGGCATTTCTCTACTAGAAGTGTTTAATGAATCTCTAGAGACAGGTGAATGCTCTAGAAGTATGAAAAATGCCTAAAAAAGGGAGATTTGACAGAATTAAAAAATGGCGACCATTATCACTTTTATGTAGTGATTATAAATTACTTTCGAAAGCCGTAACAAACAGAATGAAATCTGTTATGAGTCAATTGATTCATGAGAGTCAGACTTACTCTGTTCCAGATCGATGTATTTATGATAATATAGATGTTATACGTGATATAATAAATCTCGCAAATCAAAATAACGAACGTTTAGCTATTGTAAATTTAGATCTTGAAAAAGTCTTTGACCGCATTACTCATAATTACTTAAAAAATATACTTAGAAAATTTGGTTTTGGTGGGAATATTATAAAGGCGGTTGACGCAATGTATAAAAAAATACCATACTTTATGTAGTTCATGGGTCGGTTTCTACTTCAACTATTCCTTTTAAGAGAGGTGCAAGACAAGTAGATCCAATAAGTGTTGTTTTTTTATTTACACTAGCAATAAACCCTTTTCTTTATAATTTAAGAAAAAAATAGTTTTTAAAATCAATGTTATGTTATAGTTATCAAAGGCTTATTCTATCATCTTATGCTGACGATATAAACATTTATATTAGACAGGAATCAGAATTTAGTGTTATTCAGAATATAATAAAGAAATTTGAAGCATATTCGGAATCAAATTTTAACGAAGAAAAATCCTTTGGTTTATGGTCTGGCGCTTGGAAAACACGAACGGGAAATAATCCAAGCTATACATGGTCGAATCAAGAAATAAAAGTATTAGAGTGTATTTATGAAATTCTTTGATGTGGATTCAGAGAAACTGGGATGAATTGAAAGAGAAATGTAGTGTTACGCCACCAGTCGTTAGTTAATTTTCCGTAAATTCGTTCCGACGAAACTTTAACGACACAAGTCCTTTCTTAAATGAAACTGGTTTATTCTTTCCGAATACAACTTTACCGATACACTTAATTTCAACAGTCGCTCTATAACAAACGCTTTAACGTCTCACGTGCTCGTGCTCGACAATACTCAGTTCAATTACACACTCTCTGACTGCAGTTCAATTACTCATTGTTCCGTCACGTTGTGACATCTTATATATACCAGACTACTCCAATCTAGTAGTCTCCCGATAATTCACGAAGGTTCGAGAAGGACGTGGCGTGATACTAGTCAGTGATCTCGCTGATGCAACAGTATTTTAGGAGTATTGTAATACTGGGATAGGTAACAACTGACATATATATTTTAGGTGTATTGTAATACTATGACAGGTAACAATTGGCATATATATTTTAGGTGTATTGTAATACTATGACAGGTAACAACTGGCATATGTATTTTAGGTGTATTGTAATACTGGGATAGGTAACAACTGGCATATATATTTTAGGTGTATTGTAATACTATGATAGGTAACAACTGGCATATGTATTTTAGGTGTATTGTAATACTGGGATAGGTAACAACTAGCATATATATTTTAGGTGTATTGTAATACTATGATAGGTAACAACTGGCATATATATTTTAGGTGTATTGTAATACTATGATAGGTAACAATTGACATAAGTATTTTAGGTGTATTGTAATACTATGATAGGTAACAATTGGCATAAGTATTTTAGGTGTATTGTAATACTATGATAGGTAACAATTGGCATAAGTATTTTAGGTGTATTGTAATACTATGATAGGTAACAACTGGCATATGCATTTTAGGTGTATTGCAAATGAACTTTTATTAAATATGATTTTTAAGATATTGTTACGCCTCCAGTCGTTAGTTAATTTACCGTAACTTCGTTCCGACGAAACTTTAGCGACACAAGTCCTTTCTTAAGTAAAACTGGTTTATTCTTTCCGAAAACAACTTTACGATACACTTAATTTCAACAGTCGCGCTATAATTCTCAACGAACGTCTCACGTGCTCAA